CGTGGCGACAACAAACCTTAGGCTGGAAGTTGCACAAGTTCGAGGCGCGCACCTGGAGTTCTGCCGGCGCGACCGGAGGATCAAGGAGAGCGTTGGGCAGAGCACGCGCGTAGCGCAGCGGCAGCAGAGGCTCAGGCCGAAGGGACGCGAGCCGCCAGGGGAAGCAACAACGAAAAGCAAGCAGCGCGAGAGTGGGGGATGGCCCGGCAGCTAGGCGGTAAATCCAGATCTTCAGCTACAGGGGGTGGTTGTGGCCGTTCGCCCCCCTCGCGCGACCCTCGCCCGTTCGCCTCTTCGCTCCGCCCATGCGAGGGGGGTGCCGTCCGGGGTAAGGGTTCGCCCAGGACGGAGGAGGGGACCTCGACCCGTCGCTCAAACCTCGACCCTGACGAACAAGTGGCACGAATTGGTAACACCACCACGAACAGCAGGAGCAACACCAGGAGAAAATCCACAGGCCAGCGGCAGCAAGCCCCGCCACTGTCTCCTCTCGAGACCGGGGGTAGGATGGAGCGGAGGGGGGGGTCGGGAAGAGGGGCGTACGAAAGGATGGCGACAACACAGCGGGCCCGTCAGACCGGCTTACGTCGAGCAAGCGCGCCATGCGGGCGTGCAGTAGAGAAGTCTGCGGCAGCGATGTCAGCCGCAGCGATAGTTGAAGAAGAGACAACAGCGGCATCGGCATCGGCAGCGGCGGTGGCACCTAATAACAGAACCTCGTTAGATGCGTGGGGTGATATGGCAGCAGCAGGTCAGAGAACAGGCGGAAAAGGAGCAGGAGCAGGAGGATGGGCTCCGGCAGAAAGAACACAGGGGGACTTGCTACGGCAGCAGAGATCAAGGCGGTAACCAGAGTGGTCGAGATGGCGGAGTACGTGGAGCGCGTGTAATAACTATGTAATCCTCGTAGGCTGAGGAAGTGCGCAACAGATTTGTGGGTGCTTCGGACTCCTCTGAGCTACTACAGGACAACAGAAGATGTTTGACATGGCAGAATGGCAGCTGATTGATCGTTTCTTTTCTTGCATTAGAACCGAGGAAGCTGAACCAAGAGCATTCCCAACACTGAACATACATGATATTTAACCTAAATTACAAAAGGGGGATGCAGTTTTCACTATATGTTGTCTCGGTATAGGTTGGTACGTACGTAGTGTACGTAGTGAGGGGTGGTTCATTGTTGTAGAAGCAGGTGCAGAACGCGCGGGCCTCATTTTGTCCGAGGCCCTCGTCTCATTTTCTCTGTAGGGCAATCCAAGATCTCGATGATGCGTACATACATGAAGCAGGTTTGTAGTGTAGGCTTCTTGACCGGCCACCTGTTCTCACGGTCATTTTCTCAAATTTGTCGTCTTTTGAACCTGGAATTCTTAACTCCCAGGTGTGGCGCGGTCTGTACGCACGTGTAGAGAGACACTACCCAAGAACAGCATATTATGGTGAAAAATGTGCTTGTGTGCAGAGGAAAATGAAACATCTCCGCTCTCTTTTACACCACGGTGAGCAGAGCTCTCACGTGGTGTGCAGCATGCGACTGCCACCACCAACCTGTAGGCTTATGCAACGATCAGTCTTCTTGACGATTTCGCGTTGGGTCTCCGGCACCCGGCCAACCGGCACCTTTTCCCAGTTTCAATCGATCATCCCAGTTTCAATCAATCAATCAATCTCAATCAAATCAAAACTGTCAATCTCAATTCTCAATCAAAACTGGGTCCTGTGGGCCGACCCACGTTGCAAGGTCAAAATTTGGCTCCGACCTTGTCACGCCTCCTCGTCCAGGCTCAACTCCCTTCGTTTCCTTTCGAAATCAAGTCAAAGGAGACAAACATGCTACTATGATAGGACGCGGTTGAAAACCCGGACACAAACGACTTTCATACTCAACGACGACAGTACCGTTGGCCGCTTAACAAACGTACATCGCTGCTGGGTCATACAGAGCACCTGCGAACAACGTGCGCTGTTCGACACTCACTCACGCCAAGAATGAGGCCGTTTTCTGCCGCCTAGCGTATGAGGAAGTCTGCACTCCGTGACCATCATGCATCATTCATCGCACACAGGACACAGAGGAGGAGCACGACGAGTTCGTATGCACACACGAAACGCAACATCGGGAGCAGTGGAACCAAAAATAACAAATTCCTTCAACCACATCAACCATGAACGGTCAACGGATTGACTGCTGCTGCTGCCTGCAAGCCACGCATGCAACAGCATCGTCAACGCACACCCACGGCAAGAAGACGACATAGACTACAGCATTGAGTCGGCGCACTGGTCGACATGTGTCATAGAGAAAGCACTGACCGGATGGATACAGTAGAACAAATTGAGAGAGTGTACGATGTTGCGCAGACGACCCACCAGACGACGACAGAGTCGTGTAACTTTGGAGGACAGGAGGAGGGCTCGGGAAAGACAGAGGTAAGTCGTGAGACGCATAGACTACTGTAGGCCGTATGCATAGAACACCGATGATTGTCACAAGCAAGGGCATACATACAGCGGTAGAGTAGAAGCACTACTGTAAGATGTAGACTCACCCGTTGACGGCATTGTCGTGTAACATCGGCATACATACATCATTGAATCCACATGCATACAAACAGCAAGCAGATGATCTACAGTAGTGGGAAGCGCGACATAGGTCGATAGAGTATACGTGCGGTAGCCATGGTATGGAGCATATTTCGACACAATAACAAACTATACACAGGAAGGAGTATTATTACAAGGACGAAGGCGACGATTGACTTAGTTAGCCGGCGCTGGCTGTTGTTGTTACCATCAGACGACCGGGGAACTGCATATTATTGTCTGTAGATTGTACATCGTACACAACAACAGTCATTCAGCAATGGAAACAATGAATGCACGTCGATTGTTCAGGTACGAAAGACGGCGCAGAAGATGCGACCATATGGTTGTCGATGATGATGACCTGGACGGTAGTTCTGGCAGTGATGAAGCGGACAGGATTATTTTCAACAGGGAGATCCCGACAGCGGCGATTGAGACAACAGAAGGTCAAGAAACGTGCAGAGATAGCGTAAATTTGGTGACTCCTCTTCACGCGGAAACTCTTCTGCAAGGACTGCATGACTTCCGTGACCATATGTTTGCGGGTAGCAGGCGGTGAGTGTCAGCAGTTCGACTGAACTAGCTATGTAGAAAGAAACTGGCCGGCCTCAAATAGGGCGGGCGGCTAGAACGTGCCATTTCTAATTTATTAACACATACACTCGTTGAGATCGGGCGCATACAAAAAATTACATAAATTTGTTATCAACAGGTCTCCCTGTGCCGTGTGCGATAGGCTGACTATGGTACGACGTCATCACGTATTATCAGCAAGTGAGATTCCCAGCAAAGAACTTTTAAGGGCGGACGAAGCCCTTCGCAAGCAGGACAGGGTAATGGCAACTTTTCGCGGCTATGCAGGCGACACGGCGCGGGACCTAGACAACCTCGTTCTAAGTAAGTACGGTATCGAGTCAGAGGAACCATGCAAGATACATGTATGCGACGAGTGCTACCGGTCGTTGGCGGAGAACAAATTACCTGATGCAGCATTGGCGAACGGGTTTTGGGTCGGTACCCTACCCGATGAGCTGCAAAAGGCAACGTTCGTCGAGCGCGCCGCAGCGTACCCAATTCGAACAAAGGGTCACGTTGTAGCATTGGAATCAAGGCGTGTGAACAACATTCCTGGAACGGCTAAGAGATCTATGCGAGGAACATCTGTGTTTTACGCAAACAACTCCAGCTCTGTCACGAACGAGCTACCTTTGGCGGCGACTGGTCTGCTGGATATGATCACGGTGGTGCTAGCGGGGAAGAAAAAACCCAAACCCTCCGATCTTGGCCGCCTATTGGGTGCCCGCAAATCAATGATTAGGGCCATAATCGATTACATGCTCGATAAGGAAGATAAACTTGTCGTCGGTTTTCCCGTGGCGAAATCTCTTCCTCTCAGTGAAGAGAACCTCGATTCGTACAGCGAGGATGGATCTATCCCAAAAAGTGTTGTTGGATTCGATTCTAACATCGAATGATCCATTGAATGTGAGCGCAAGCGTGTCTTCTTCCTACATTCGAGGTAGCAACGAAATCGGCGCTGAGAAAGTCAAACTGAGCGACGACACTTCTTCAACAAGTTCCAGCAGCGACGAGGGTGACGATGAGCAGGTTAGACGTGACGTGGAAGACGCCAAGGCGTGTGTTTTGCAAAACTACGCGGTGGTTGATCCTGGTGAGGACACCGCAACCTCGGCTGAAAGACTTCCGGATGCGATGAAAACGTTAGGCAGCGAGCTTGATGCGGAGGCGGCGTTGCGTAGAGGTCAACCTCCGCCTGGTGGTACCAGCAACGCCCTCGTTGTGCCACACGGTGAAATCCTAGACGATTATAATAATAATTCGGCCTGGGTAGAAGGCTTCATGCACGCGTTCCCGGAAGGCTGTGGCGGGCCTTTGTGTCCTACGCGAAGAAGACCGGTATCATTCAACAGATGGATCCAGATTTTGCTCAATCGGAGAGACAATGCATGGAGGATTGATCGTTGTTTTTTGTTTTGCGCAGCCGCAGTTCGTTTCAGAGATGAAGCGATTGCGAATGTGCGATTCAAGCTGTCGGTGCGACCTAATTCTGCAGATGCGAACGCAATAGCTTCTATCACTAAAGAGGATCTACATGGCATGGCAGATGAACTCCAAGTCTGGGAAAAAAACCAGCGCGGTTTTAAACAACAGACCCGAGATCAAAGCTCTCCTTCGGAAGATGCAGGCCGTTTCAGGGGACGCGACAGTTCGGATTGCCTTTTTTCTGGATGACGGTGAATCCTTCAGATGTTAACAGCCCTTTCGCCATGCACTACGGAGGTCATGACAACGACCTATCGTCGACATGCCATCAACAAATGCCAGAGTACAGAAAACGATTGGACATAATCGTTAACGACCCCGTGGCTTCGGCCACATTTTCCCACGAAACAATGGAGGCGGTGTTAAAGTACATTCTGAGGTTTGGAGCAAACGATGGCGATGGTGGAGCACTAGGCAACATCAAAGCACACATCGGAATGACCGAAGAGCAGCATCGTCTTATGCTTCACGGTCATCTGATGGTATGGGTGCACGGCTTCACGAGTCGGGAACAGCTGCGGAACGACATTGGGCACAACCTGAAGAAACATGCCGAACTAGCGAAGTGAGTACAGTACGTATCTTATATCCATTTTTCGTACCGTCCGGAATCGTTGTTCAACACAAAGTTTTATATTTTGCTCAATCGGAGAGACAATGCATTGAGGATTGATCGTTGTTTTTTGTTTTATGTCTATGGCTTGTTTTGTTGGTCTATTTACATATGTCAATATGTTTGACGTTACTACACGTTTCTGTTTAACAGCTACATCGGAAGAATAATATACAACCAGGTCATGTCTCTCGAAGAGGTAGAGTTCGGCCTGCTCAACGCATATGAGCCAGTGTACAACAAAGTTGTGGTACCCAACGCGTCACCGTTTGACGAGAGTGCCGCTCATCAGAACTAGAGCTGCGACGACGACCACGTTTCGGCAGAAGAATGGCCGGAACCACTTCACACAAGAGAGGCTAGGAAAGACAAGCGCAAGGTTTCAATCTGCCCTCCTATTCCTGCAATTACCATCCAGCGTTTATTCGGAGAAAACCCTGCGTGCCTTTCTTGCATTGCTGAAGACGCCTCTTCAATAGCATGGGTGGCGGGTTGCATGGATGTACACACACGTGCACGAAGTATGCCAAAAAATGATTGGATGGACTACCGCTCCCTGGGGCCGAGTGTCGATGTGGGTTCGGCCGTGACGGAAAGCCTATTCTCGAAAGAGGAAGTGTGAAGAACGGCAAGGCGGTCGTTTATGCCGACGGTACACTGGAGATAGACGGCGTGACGGTAGAGGTAGACGGGCCTAACGATCAAACGGCTGCTTTACGTTTGCAAGAAGAAATTCAAAGAGCTTCCGCCGCCCGCGCCAAGGCAGTTGAAGACAATGCTCCTTTTGAATACGACGACGACGATTTCATCATACGGGTGCGCCGCGGATCCACGCACATCAACAGTTATAATTGGGTTGTTCAGCAGGCCATACGATCAAACATGGACATCAAGGTGCGGAGACGATTGACATTACAGTTTTTTCATCTATTTGTGAATGGCATGCGTGTTGTTATAATTTACCTATTTTTCGTCATCATGTTGAATACCGTTGTCTGTGTTATTGACACGTGTTTTCGCAGGTTATCCAAGGAAAAGGTGACGCTCGAGGCCTCGTTTTTTACATCCTCATGTACACGACGAAATCCAATCGAACGGTGAATTCGATTGTTCCTTTGCCTGCCGAAGTGGTTACTCGTATTGACAAAGAAGACCGTTCTGAGCCCAAAGACGAACGCGTGCGAAGAATCGTGAGGGCTTCTCTCTGCCGTCTGCTATCTGGCACAGAATTAGGCGGTGCAGCCGCCGTGTGCAAATTAATGGGGTGGTCGGATACAATCTTGTCCCACAAACCTGTACTGTGCAGGCTGACACCTGTGTATGGCTGGATCAAGGACTCGCTTCCATCTGAATTGGAAGAAGGAGGCTCTGCACATTCTGACGACAGCGACGACGAGGAGGGCGGTGTGTTGCTGACGGCGGTTGAAGGTCGTCTGTGTTGTACTCCTCGCGCTCCGCAAGACTATATCCATCGATGTGCACCCGAAGACGCCGGTCATCGTTTCTACAGCATGTGCTATTTCATGTACACGCGCCTTGTTGCGATCTCTAAAACAAACGGCATCAAGCGACCACATGAGGACATCAGTGCTACCGAAAACGTGCCTACAGCAAACGACTTTGCCCCCACGATTGGGCGTGAAACAGCCCAAACTAGATATGACTTCTTCGGAGATTACAGAGCTGGGTATTCGCACTATTTGCGAAGACAACCTAAGGTGGTGGACATCATGTGCGAGCCGCCTTTGGAAGAAGCGAATCCAGAGAACTTCGGGCGCCTACTTCTGGTGTTGTTTAAGCCATTCTTCGAAGCGAGTGGTCTATATCCGCAAGGGTGTAAATCATGGCATGAGGCTTACAGAAATGTACCTGCTGATGCATGGGATTCCCGTTCCCAACCTCTAAGGGAAAACATCAATACATTGCAAGTAGAAAAGAGAGCTGCGAATGCCGCAAGGAGAGCGAGAGCTGCTGATAATACTCGGGATTCTCTACACGCTGGAATATTCACTCCTGGCGAAGATGGTCTGGAAGTGACTTCGGAGACAGTGACGACAATGATGATGGATATTATGATGACAATCTCTACTTTGTTAAGTAAGTCAGAGCAGCATGCGAACGACCACGCCGATGAAGCCTTGCGAAAGTGCATGCAGTTCAGCATAGTTGATGGCGAAGGAGAAGATGGTGCAACCCACGCTGGTCGTCGATCATCAAAGGTCCGATCAAGCGCCACGCCAGGTGCTGTTCGTCGAACATCAACGCTCCGATCAAGTGCCACGCCAGGTGCTGTTCGTTCCGAGAATAGCCTGGCAGCGAAGACGTTGGTAAATAATTCGATGCCCTTGCTCAGCAAATTCAGCACATCCGTTCTGTCTCCCGGACTCTGCGATGATAATGACGGTGAAGACAACACCATCGGTGAGAGCATTTGTAATGGAGATCTTTCGTCAGCTATGACCTCAAATGCATATATTCAGTCGCTTCAAGCTGTCAATGCTGCTCCAGGAGACAACGCGGTTGTAGAGAGCGAAGAAATAAACAACCGTGTTCGCCAATCCGATGTTGGTCTACTTGCTTCAAGGTATCCACCTGTTGTGACGCAAATAGCGGAGCATTACATGCTCAACGAGGAGCAGCGGCTGGCATATTATACGTTCGCGGACTCCTTCATGAAATGGCAGCGCGGAGAGATGGCAACACCATGCAGGTTGTACATCGGTGGAGGGGCAGGTACCGGGAAGTCTCATGTGGCACGTGCAATTACTTTAATTGCTTGTCCATGTGTTCTCCGTTGTGGTGGCCGTGAGAGAGCGCTGGTTTGCACATTCCAAGGAAAACAAGCTACGACTCTAAGCGGGACGACGATCCACAGCATCGCCAGTGTTCCAGATGAGAAAAGCCGAACGCCAGCACGGAGATTATCTGCCAAGAAAAAGGCACTATGGAGAGATGTGACGGTTCTCATCATAGAAGAGATATCAATGGTCTCAGCCAAAATGCTTGCGGCATTACATGGCGCGACCGTTGCATCTCTCGGCGCAGATGCCAGCGTGCCTTTCGGTGGCCTCGATGTCGTTGCTCTTGGCGATTTCAGTCAACTACAGCCGGTAGCAAGCAGAGGCTTGGCTTCAGGTTTCAGCAAATAAATCGGTGCTGCAGTTTTAGCATCGTCTTCTTCATCAGCTTTCGGCGGACAACAGCTTTTTTTAAGCATGACCGCGTGGGTCATGCTTGTTCAAAGCAAGCGTTTTACGGAACCACTGCGAGGTATTGTGGAGAGACTTCGAGTGGGTTCATGCACAAGCGAAGACAGGGTCATATTGAATTCAGCTACGGTCGGCGCTGGCAATATCAGCGGAAACGACTGCCATTTGTCGACAATGATCGTCCTCAGAAACGAGATCAGGTGCGCCTTGGCTGTTCCTCTCGCGCGTTCGGCTTGTGCACGGAACGACGTTTGTCACTATGTGTCAAGGGCTCTCGACAAGTTGCGAATTTGTGATTCGAGACTTTACACTGGAAAAGAATGGCCGGCAGGTTTAAGAGGTTACGTCAACCAACTTGAAGACAACAAGACTATGGACCTACCTCGCGAAACTTCGGTTGCGATTGGGATGCATGTCGTTCTTCGGCTGCAGACTCAATACGTAGGCGCTGGCGTTTGTAACAATTCCTCTGTAATCACCAAGATAATTGTTCTTGATTCTAAAGAACCTGACATTCCTGAAGATGCCACAAACATTTACTTGAGGCGGCTGCCTCTGTTTGTTTCGGTCTATATCGAAGACGCTTACAAGAAGGGATTGCATCTGCCAGGTCTGGACCCAGGCGTTGTCGCCATCAAGTCGCATACGCGAACTTTCAGGGTAACTGTTCCGTCTCGCTATAGTTCATCGAAAAAGGATTACTACATAAAGAGACGGCAGTTACCTTTCAGCTCGGGGGAATATTTCTTCTGTGCATCGTGCGCAAGGTGAAAGCCTTGACGACTGTCTTCTTGATTTGCGTCAACCTCATCGTAAAGAAGGAGGGAGAGGGGTCGACGACAGTGCCCTCATTTACGTCGCTATCTCCAGGGCGACCAGTCTCGAAGCTATTCGATTGCTCTTCGACGTTGCTCTGCATCAACTTCAGACCAAGCCTGCAAACGACCCAGCTACACTCATGGCGTGGATTGAGGAACAGTCGCAAAAACACAGGGCGTCGTTCCTCGGTTTGTCGATTGGTGGTAGTACGGAAAATTCACCTGCAGGCTTATCGGCATCTACAGCTGATGCTGGCGCAGTTGGGAATTGCGTCATTAGTTCTACCGCACCATCTGGCTCAGCAGGTTCTACATTATCACGATCAAATGGTTCTTCTGCTACAGTATCGTCAGGATCTACAACTGCTTCTGTAAACGTCTCGGGTTCAGCTAGTGGTCTTTGGCTCGCCACGAACTCCGGCAACAACTGTTTTTTTAACAGTCTCCTTGCGATATCATTGGCGATGACCGAAGATGTGGAGGAGTCAGCCTTGCAAGGGCTTACACCTGGAGCAGACTGTTTTGTGAGCGCTCTGCAGACGGTCAAGTCCGTCATGTGGGAGGGTCCTCTGCCGCATGATGTATCGGTATGTCTAGGAATACAAATATATTATTTTTACACACGTACGTGCGCTAACCATTTGTAAAAGGCATAGTCTAGGCGAACACAAGCAATCGATCATATAGACTGAACTCCGAAAAACGGGCCAGTCTGTGCGTATTGACATAGTTACATAGGTTCGCAATGATCCGCTCCCTCGTGCATGTGGGAAGTTCCTCTGCCGCATCATGTATCGATAAGTCGACGAATACATGATATTTTGCGACATTAACCGGCACTAGTTTGGCAACGTTTCCTTTGCTCGTGCACTTCCAGGTAACACTGCGAGAAACGCGAAATACCATGAATGCAAACGCTCCTGTCCACTTCGAAAACTTCGGCTCGCCTGTGATGGGCGACCCTGTGGATATCGTTCAACATGGTTGGGGCGCCAGAAGGTTCCGGTGGTTGGGCAGGCTCTTGGGCTTCGACCGAAGTCCTCCGTATATCAGCTGTGATGAAATCTTTGACTCTTTTCGGTGCCGACTATCCCATTCAGTCATCATGCCCTGTCCACCCTGGGTGGACATCAATCATCTTGTCTACCATTGCTGTGGTTCATTCACAGAATGTTTGGGCCTTGCCGAGGCGTGACGTCGTCGATTCTCTACATCAGGCCATTGATGTCAGTATTGCGACTGCGTATTTAAATGGGCCTTGCCAACTTTGCGTGGTGGATGGACATTTTGATGGCTACCACGTTCAGTGGAGGCACATTACACCCACGAACCACGCGAATGCACCGGACAGACTGCTGTTTAGCATAGAGCCAAGGCATGAAGATAATGTGGTTGCGCCCACATTTGCAAAGTCTATACGATTTGGTGTAACGTATGATTTGGTGGGAGTAATCTATTCACGCCAGAACCCTTTCGTGTCTCAATTTCGATTGGGCGGCCGTTATTGGTCGCATGACTGTGTGCATCATCGAGGCCGGGCGAAGCCCGAGAACTGTTTTCATCCTGACGCTTTCAATGGCCAAGCATTTGTCTATGCCTTTGCAGAATGCCCTTTGTCTTCATCAGCTTAGATCGGCAATTCGTTCTTCATTTGACATTGCATGGGGTCGGACATGTTTTTTGTATAAAATTGAAATAAAATGGACTTAATCAGCTTAGGTCGGCATTCATTTGACATTGCATGGGGTCGGACATGTTTTTTGTATAAAATGGACTATTCAGGGCAAGTCAATAACTTGCACTCGTGCGCTAGCTAGCGATGCGTATATCTGTAGGAGAGTATTGTCAATGGTCGTTTTGTGCTGGATCTCTGCACGTTTTTTCAGAGTGGAACAGACCCACGCAAGCTGCCACGTAACACGCACACAGCAGCCAGCCGTGTTGAAATGCACCCTCGATGACGTTAATTGTGTGGACAACGCCGGGGAAGACGAAGTGTGCATTATTACGTTCAAGGCGGTCGTCATTGCGGTGCAGTCATGTTTGCTGCCCAGTTCAACCGTGCAAAGGCTCTGCGACGAGTCGCTGTTACAGTACGTAACGTTGCGCGCGGCGTGCCGTGTGCGATAGGCTGACTTTGGTACGCCGTTGTTGCCCAGTTCGAACGAGGCGTTTACGATCCGCAAGAAAGTACGATAACACTGCCTTCAACCGTCTAGTCGACAATTTTCTATGCCAGATCTCTCGACGTCAAATCAATCCGCCACAACCAGCGTCATCTATCACTACACAGACGTACACACTAGAACACACTCAAGTAAAGCTTGAACGATAGGTCGTTAGTCGTTCCCCAGATCCGAAGAAAACTGGGCATCTTCAACGAAGGTGCCCGGCGTCGGGAAAGGTAGCGGCAACGGCCGATTGATGTCGCGGCTAAGGTATCGCCGCGATTCCCGCTCCGCGTACTGTTGAAGTCTTGCTGCTGTTACGGGCAACATGTCCAATACCCTCACTTGTTCTTCAGCCGGCACGTATCCATTTTCCACCGTTACGTTTTGCCCAACGATGCGAGCTTGGATAGCATGGACTACACGCCACCAACCGTCCGGCCTCTCAAACGCCGGAGGAGGGTCGTACCCGATGGCGTCCATCAATATCGGGCTGAACAGCCACGAGTACGTACGCGTCCGTGGTGCGTTTCTATCGATGTAAGGCGCCCATGTTACTCCACCGCCGCGAACCTCGGCCGGTGCCGCGCGTGTTTCCGATACGTTTCCGGTCGGAGTACGCGGAACGTCCGTATCTTGTCCATGCCGACCTCTAGCCTCGACTGCTGCGTCGTTCACGGCGGTGTCAACCGGGGCGGGTAATTCGGGCGGGAATAGTTCATTCACCACAGCTTCTGCCGCGTCGCGCGCCCATGCGGCGAGAATATCCCCGGAGACGGGCCGACGGGCGCTTAAGTCGCGCTGGATCTCGATCGCGACATATCCAACGTCGCACTGAACGTCGACGAGGATACGACGCGCCTCGGCCCCTAATGCAGACCTATAAGTTGAAACCCACGCGTCCCACGTACGGGGCCGGACGAAGTACGGTAAGTACGGACTCTCCTTTACTTCTAGGAACAATGCGCTCCATAGCCACTCGAAGTCATGTCCGCCCTGTTCCAGCACGTTCCACTCGACGAACTCATATCACGACGGAACAAAATACGAGTCGCGGCGACGGACCAGGCCGACCAGGCTGTACGAGTCCAAACCATGAGCGCCGTTGCTTTCCTCCACGCAGACAGGGGGTGAGGGCAAGGCGGGAAATAGTGACCTTGCGGAAAGACTCGCCTCGTTAGCCAACATTGACCAATCGCGCAGAGGACGCGCATCGTCTCCGCGCGTGTTCCTTTCAGATTCTGGCCGCAGCCGGAAGTACTGCACCCACGCGTCCCACGAGATCCCCGGCACGAATGGAGGATACCGTGCACCGGCGTTTGACGTTGCACATACGCCTCAAGCCCCTCGAGAGGGCCGATCCTGTCTGAGTCGAACCCGGCCTCAGGCTGGTACGACAAACACTTAGGGAGTGGCTCTGCAACCCTCGTCGCCGCGGCGGGAATGTCCCACCATTACGTTGTGCGTGCCGCACAAGCATAAAATAGCGACGGATGATGGCGCGACTCGATACCTGCATCTCCTCGCAAGAGACCGAACGCAGGAAGAGTGGAACACGCAACCGCATGCTGGCATGGTCGTGCGGGCGTGTTCATACGCACCACGCCTGCGGAGGCAGATGCCGCAAGTGTGATGGTCATCCATGACCTGTCTACAACGGTTGCTGTAGACGCGCGAAAGCTCGGGCGGACGAACCTCTGCCAGGAACATATCGCGTTGCGTGGCAGCTTCGATCTCCTGGGGCGAGAATGTGAACAAACGTGGACGGTTACAACGGGTTGGTGTCGATGAGCTCCGTATATTAAACACCCAACCACCCTCGTTATAACTACTGATAACATAAGAAACGTTAGGCCGGCCGACGATGACGTCGACTGGGCGGTCGCGCTGGTTCTCGATCGGGGCGTGCCCAACGTGGAACTGAACCTCTACAGTGATTCGACGTAAATTATCACCGTGTGCTCGTCACTGCCTCGTCTCGCGTGCGCATCACGACTTCCAGAAGATGTCGTTCCGATCTCACCAGAAGATGTCGTTCCGGTCACACCACAAGATGTCGTTCCGATGTCATTAATGTCGTTCCCCACGGAAGAAGCACCCCAGGGAAACGGGATCGAAATACCTCCTGGTCCTGCACCGTCAACTCTTCGCGCCCACTCAGTCACGTCCGTGCTTACGTCGCCGCGTCTCGCCGCCGGCATGTCCTCGTCGCGCGACTCGCGCCGCGCTCGATATAACATGGCGGAGCGACCCCGGTTGCTGGACACGAGTGTCGCCCACCGAGGCCCGGGCACAAACGGTGGGAATGCGATTTCACCAACGTCAGCTTGAAGTGCTGCAAGAACAGCGGACCCGCCGTTCTCAACGCGGCCTGCGAACTCCTCAAGCGACTCCAACGGTCTGACGCCGGCGACGGCGTCCCGATTGCCGGAGCAACGAGGAAGAGGTCGGCATTCAACCCTACCGAACGATGTGTCTCGAATTGCACACCGTTCACCGCAGTATGGGCACATCACTGCCGCAACGACATGAAAACTCCTGGCGTATGCTGCATGGCGGGAGTTCCTTATCAGGTCTTCTAAACAATGCGCGTGAAACGCATGGCCGCAAACCAATGTAGCGGGTCTGCTCCTGTGCAGGCGACTGCAGATAAAGTATTGGCAAGAGATACTCGGCGGGAACGTCAGGTGCGACTGATGGTCTAACAGGTACAACACCTGTTGTAAACGCGCGTCCCGGTCCTGCGAGACGGTGCAAGAAGAGAAACGCGTCGTCCCCAGTTGGCACAGTTACGTTGCCCGATAATTCTTTCGGATGGCACAAGATACAATCAGCCCGAGACGTGGCTTCGACGGCGGCCCACCGTGTGGGGGCGTGCGTGCACTTCCAGGTAACACTGCGAAAAACGCGAAATACCATGAATGCAAACGCTCCTGTACACAACTAGGACAGAGCGAGTAATTATATAAACACAGATGTTCGGCAACATACAACCCGCTTGTTTGTACACTATAAAACACCGTAAGAACACTCACCGTGCAGGGAGGCGGAAAGGGGCCGTCGTCGTTCGGGCGAGCAAAGTCTGCAACGCTGACGGCGTTCGTGCGTTCAACATGTCTCGTGCAGTCCCAGATACCAGGGCTTTCGACGGACAACGACCATGGGAACGTCGGAAGAAGCATTGACCTGCAATCACGGCGGGATCGACGTTCGTGCACCTCCGCCCAATGCTCGATCCGGTCGCGGAAATCGCCGAGCGCAGCATCTTCTGGTTCATCGCCAAACGGGAACCGCTGGTACTGCCGTCGTGCGTTTACATGCCTCCGCCGGGTAGCGACGAAATCGTCCCAGAACGCACCAGCGATGAACGGAGGCGACGCATTATGGATGATGTCATCCACGAGGTGCTGGATGGTGTTAGGGGCAGACCCCGCCCGCGTTACCCGCCGCACATAGTCCTCCAAACATTCCCTTGCGCTATCCTCGAAGGCAGCACCGTTACCCCGGCGGCCAACGGTCGAATCCTATTTTAGTTTTCAATTTTTTGGGCGGGCATAGGAATGTTAGATGAAAAGCTGCGATAACCGGATAGTGAGAACAATTGCCGGAATCGCGTAAGAATGTAAGATGATAAGAAAATGCAGATCGGGTGTTCTTGCCATGCCACATGCAGCGCGGCCAAAACTGTGCTTGCCTCTCCGACGCCGCCATATCGATTATAAGTTGCGCTGCTCAAAACTACCCATCTATCATACCGAGTGCGCTTTCCAAACATTGCAAAACTTACTTGCAATTGCCGATTGCCTCTTTCCAACGCACGACCGGCGGCTCTCTGGACCTCGGCCGAAGCCCCAGCTGTTGCAACCTCGCCTACAACAGCGACGACTACGTCTCGCTCCTCCTCGTATCTTCGTTCCTGATAGTTGTTTTTCACAATGCACACGATAGGCGATCGCAATTACATGAGCAAATCGTTAGAAATTTCATGACATCACATCGCTGGCTGAAATGTTATGAAATTTATTATTTGTGTCTACTTGCCCTATCACGTACAGCGCGGCCTTTCAACACGATGACATTCGCATTGCCCTTCCGAAATTATCATTACGCTGTTCAACTAGTACATCTTCATAAAACTTACCAGCGGTTGCCCGATATTAGCACATACAGCGGATCGCTGTACCTCCGATACATGTGGTGACACGTTCCCGTTGTCGGCGGACGGGAATACAGGAAAACCACCGACTTCTTCTCCCTGCTCCACCCTTCGGGCCCAGAATCTCACCGCTGATGCCCATTCTCTGATACCTTCATACCTACCGCATACACGCAAAACCGTGAATTGGACCTCCTCGTACAGGCTGCTTCGTACGTTTTCGGAAACAACCCTATGCGCGTTGACGCATCCGCTCCATCCCTGCGGAGGAACGTACGGAGGCCTTCGCTCGCGCAAGACGTCTGCACGAAGATCAACTAATACATCATAGTGGTTGTGTCCTTCCCGTGCCCGCCTGTTTACGTACTCCTCCATCGTCTCGGTCTGCCTCAACATTCTACGCGGGCGTGGTCTTGAGGTCGGCTGGAGCGGCCATGGAAATGGCGGATACCGTCCCCCCCTTTCAGGACGATGCACCTCCCTACCCCATGCAACCAGAACATCTCGGGCTCCTTCCTCCCTACAGAGAATCGGCAGCCAGACGGTGTCATCGACCTCACGACGAGGAAGACGTCGCACGTGCTCTACGTACTCTGACCACCCGGGAGGCACGCTGAACGGCGGCATCAGGAATCCGAGGATGTCTTCAGCCAATGTCACCAACACGTGCGTAGCCCTCGTCCTCCGATCATTCCTTCTCTCCAAAAAAGCGTAGAGGTCAATCGAAGCGTAGCTCTGCCCCGAAACTATACGCCTCGGCACTGGCCACACGATCACACTTTCGAACCCTCTAATTTCTCCGATGATCGTCGGTTGCCGACACATAGGACAGCATATCCATGCCCCTGGCGGATCATCCTTGCGTCTTCGGTTTTGCCTGCACAACCTTTCAATGCAGTCCTTGTGAAAAACACGCCTGCACCGCAATGACGACCGCCTTCGCGTCGCCAAAGGATCCAGACATATTACGCACAAATCGTCCCTCCCGGCGTCGTTCACGCGATCAACGTCATCGAAGGTCTGCCCGTTTTCTCTGACGACGCCCGCCTGTACAAGGTCGTCATTCGTTGAACAAAATACGTGCCAAGAGCGGAAAAAATGCAAGCGCGCTAAGATTTTATTCCTACTGCAAGATTGTGCAGACCATGAACACATATCGCGCTGCTACTCTGAAGCGAATGTTTTCACCGCAAATACTAAGTCCATATACACTACAACCACACCGATCACGCCCGACATATGCGACAAAAAATTTTATATTTTACACCTGCATATTGTCGTCGTCCTGCATATACGCATCTGATGACCTCCCGCCGAACCTCAATGTCGTGCAAAACGCACGGAGACGACACGCCGTAGCCTTCACACTCGTCTTCTTCGTTTTGATCGTCCTCAGCCTGCACGAACACGCAGTCGGCACACATGTTACAGCCTCATGAAATAATTCTGAATGTGTTTCGTGCACACAAGACTGTGTCCCTGCAGCTGAGAAGTCGATATTCGTATAGTCCATCACTTCAAATTAGTTCATCATACCGCCGTCATCGTCTCACGCACACAGCCCCAACGCGTACCTGGCGCAACGATGTTGGGATCGGTGAGCGCGGTATCGCCTCAAGTGTTACACCCTGACTCGCGGGTAGCGGAAGCGCTGGCACGTGTGTATCCCTACCGTTCCGGTGCACCTCTTCAGCCCAACCTTCCAGCTCCATCCGGAATACAGCGTCTCGATCAAGCACGGTAATAGATACGTCGTCCCGTGCGGTGCACCCATCCAACGCCCTTATATACTCTACAACAGCGCTCCAGTTTCCTGGAGGAAAGTAGGGAGGATACGACAGGCCTAGAACATCCGCTCCGAGCTCGTCCAATACGCTGAATAGAGGCAGCCGATGTCGCCGACGCCTCTGCAGGTACTCTCGTAGTCCCTCCCGCGGTGCGGGAGCTATCCTGACCTCCTGGAACCCCGGTACCTCACCGATGATTACCGTACCTGCACAACAAGGGCATTCCAATGTGACGGTAGACCCTTCGCCACGTCGGGCGTACCTGATCTCGCGTTCCACACATGTGGTATGAAACGCGTGCGGCGTACGTCCACAAGGCAGGGTCGTTGCGCCTTCGCCAGGCAAGTCCTGGAAGCAGAGCCCACAAGTATGCGGGATTCCCTGCCCGTCCGACAATAAATTGTCCTCCATTCCGGTGGAAAATATCAATCAAAGCGCTCGATGATGATTCCAGCTCGAACTGTCCAGTATTTACGTCACGACAGCAACACGAGCGAATACGTCCATTGTTGAAATTTCCGCGGGGTTTTGTTTCGATTGTTGCTCACTTTGCATGCATGCCCACCTGCCGACTTCTGCAAAATAATTGTACGGCCAATACCGCGCTATAGCACAACTCCCCTTGAAACGTCTTGTGTCCCAACCCAAACGTGCAATGACCCTCGTAACCGACCTCACACCTCACATATTCACGTATGGATTTTACCATGATGCTTTCCCGCTCTTGCTCTCTATGCCGCCTGCAGTTAAAACCGCTTCCACCGTGTTTACATGTTATGCTGCGTGGTGACAATCTTACATTTTTCGAGTGTCGACATGACCTCGGCCTGCTTCATGCATATATATCTGAACGTGCAAATATCCAACCCTGTCGTCATCCATCGCCATCCATCGCGTTATTCGTCCAACTACCTACCGCTTTCCTACCTATATTCCTCCAATCAGAGATTTATTTTCAAGTGTCGACATCAACTTGGTTGGGCTGCTTCATGCATATCTTGAAACGGCCAGATATCCAACCCTTTGTCGTCATCCATCGCCATCGCGTTATTCGTCCAACGACCGCTTTCCTACCTATATTCCTCCAATCACAGATTTATTTCCAAGTGTCGACATCACCTTGGGCTGCTTTCCGACCTAATTTTCTTCGGTGCAACAACCACCGGTTCGACGGTCAGCTTACCTGTCCTTGGTCCCCCTCATCTTTTACTCTTCCCACACGCTCTTTCGTCTACCCCTCCTTGTCATATCTCTCCTCCTCCCTCCAACTTCCTCTGCCGATCTCTACCACCAATGTCAGCCCAAGATCAACTCCGTGACATGTTCGCTGCTGAAGACCAGCAGCCTCCCCCCAACGACGCCGACAACCAGGTGTACACAGGTACGTATGTATGTACAGTAGATATCTCTCACCTGACTTCTGTGTCTACCTACAAGCTGATCCGGCCATAAACCCCATATATATTTACAGATGATCACATCTCTTGAACGGCAACGAATGACGGCAACTGATCATATCCCACTGATGGCCAGGACATGGCGCTCACTCACATATCTTCCGCTTGGAATTCCGTGAACATGGTTCTGTATAAGCCGCGTCTCAATTGGGAGTACTTTTTTGTGTTGGGTTCCATTTTTATTTTCAGGCTTTGGGCTGCGATTACGCTCAAACTTGGTGTGCGTGTAACCACCGATGCCAAAATGCTTACAGTTGGGGTTTTCCGGTGGCGTCTTGGCGAGAACGTTGCAAATCACGTGTCGAAATTTCTGCGCACCAGCCCTTCCTTACAGTCTTCATGAGTTTTATCCCTTTACATACATAATTGTTTCCCACTTCAACACAATAGACTGCTAACTGTGAAGTAGGAGCCGGAACGGGGCTTTTCGGCGATGGCACGCCCTGAGTTCGAGGCCGGGCTGGTTACTCTTTTTCCCCTACTGCATTTTTTCGCAGGCAGGCCCATGTCCATAGCTTTAGTCCAGAGCTCTTTATTACACGTTGTTCATTTTTTGTTCCCACAGTCTTCACTACTCGGGTAGTAATTGTACATGTTGTTGATCAATCATCAAGTTGTGTACTTCGAATTTCAACGAAAAAACTCCGTGTCGCTGAAGCACCATCTTGCCGAACAGAGTTGCAAGAAAGCATCACCAGCTGCAAGGTGGTCAATATTCACGAGGACGTCGATTTCTTGCGACGAACGCGGTGCACTATTGTTTCCTGTTGCAACAAATATCAAACCCAAAGCAGTGAGTGGTGAGTTCGTGCCGTAGTTGTATCATGCAGGAGAACTCTTCGCGTCGATTCTGCTATTGAGTGCACCAACTCCTCAAGCCGAGGTAGGTAGGTTGTTGTGCATACTTCGTGCACACAAAAAAATACTACGCTTAATACCATGGGGGCTACGGCGTCGGTGATATGTGTACTCGACGTATGTACAGTATATGGCAATCGCTCTAGGTACTGTACTACTTTAGGGTCACTTTGTTTCTTCTTCCAACAGCAGCATGTACTGCATCATATGATGATTGGTCTAGTGACGCACGTTTTGGTTGTTGTATGGGACAAGTGGGGCGGGCGGCCACACCTTAACCCTAGTACAATCTTATTCTACTTCTTTCAATACGTTCGTTGACCACATACTAAGTGCGTGCAGTATAGAATAGATTTCGCTAAACCCGATAGAACACGTACAACGTATGTATGCATACACTCCACACCGGGTTCTCTGAATGCCCACATTTTTTTCCGTTTTCCCGTTGACAACGCACAATGAACGCATACATACCAAGTAAACCCTTCATATTTCCCCCGACTGCCTGCTTTGCATCATTTCATTTTGCAGAAGATATGGCTCAAGCCTTCAAATGCCTGTCGTGTCTCACGACCATGGACCGGGAGGGAGACGGCTCTCCCATTATGTCGCAGTACTCGTACCGCTGCCCCCACGCTGAGTGAGTGCGGCCGGTGGATAACCAAGATTAATCCGCGCGACATGCAACGGCGAAGTGTTTTGTTTGTGACGTCAACTTTCAAAGTGATGCCATAGTCGCAAAGTATATTGTGACTGAATCGAAAGACAATAAACGGGCCGTGGTTAGGTACGCCCATTTGGACCCGGACATATGCTGTGACTCTTACGCCAGGGGCATGGATATGCTGTCCTATGTGTTGGCAACCGACGTGATGACACACTACGTACGTACGTACATACATTCATAGACACGTACATACTGACGATGAAAAAAATCATCGAGCGGAATACGACCCGTCATCATCCGAACGTTGCCTATATTCATTCATTCCCGGTCTTTCCCGGTCAGAGGCAGTATATATTTACTTACTATAGTCCAGTTTTGGGGACGCAATATATATACAAAAAAAAAAACGCAACTACCCTCAAACGAAGTATATTCCTAAAGAAAAAAAGAAAAAACATGAAGTGTAGAACGATGATGTCTTGGACGAAGCTGGCGTGACAATAGCATGTCGACGAAGAAAAATGTGAAGTCACGACGTCGTGTGGAGTCGAGATGCACCTGATGGCAAGAAGCGTGGAGGAGGAGGTGGTGGAGGTGGAGGAAGGAGGAGTAAAGGAGGAGTAAAAGGAAGGGTGACCAAGCAAGCAAGGTGAATGTGACTGATGGATGGCGGTGGTAACAATGTTAGGGACGTGACTCATCCTACCCTCTGCGTTCTTTATGGCACACCCACCCGTAGCCTGATCGTCTGCTTTTGAGAAGGTCGAGAAGCCTTAGAAGTACATAGTAGACGAGGCGTTCACGGCGGATTGCTGCACTAATAACGGGAATGCTTGATGAATTGATTGAAATGAAGAGCAGCATAGATAAGTGGCAGATGGTCTGATGATATGGAACCGCCCACCCCCCCCTTCCCTATGCACAAAATCAACAATGGTTAGCTTACCGTTTAGTGACGTGATTTCTTGGGAGGACGTTCGTTAGAGGCGGAAGAGGAACTCCCGCCGCCGGAGTTGGGGTTGTATCGTTTGACCGGGGAAGCACATGTTGAAGAAGACGAAGACTTGTCGTGCATCTGGGCCCGAACGGATTCCATGAAGACAGTCCGCCGCTTGACAAAGCAAGGGCGACAGACCTGTCTGTCCAAGGGCGACAGACCTGTCTGTCGGGGTCGCGAGACCCGCTTAAGGTGTCGAAGTGTTCTAATTTAGATCTACCTTCGCAGGACTTGCACTGCGTGAATTTGGATGGTACGTAAGAGTCACAGCATACGTCCGGGTCCAAATGGGCGTACCTAACCACGGCCCGTTTATTGTCTTTCGATTCAGTCGCAATACACTTTGCGACTATGGCATCACTTTGAAAGTTGACGTCACAAACAAAACACTTCGCCGTTGCAATGTCGCGCGGATTAATCTTGGTTATCCACCGGCCGCACTCAGCGTGGGGGCAGCGGTACGAGTACTGCGACATAATGGGAGAATT